AGGTTCAGGGATTGTGAAATGGTCCAGTCTGTGGTGCTTGCCACTTCTTGTAATCTGGATGGGACAACACGTCAGAACTTGCGACGGCGTGTCCCTTGATCATATATGGCAAGGCGGCATGCCCAAAAGGAGATTATAGAGTGTTCACTCCGGCTGAGTGGTTGTAGAATCTTAAGGCAATGGACATCAAAGAGCGCTGGTGTGAGGAGGAGATCCAGTAGGTTTGCTGTTTGATCCGGTATCATCCATTTTGCTGCTGAGATGTGCTTAATCAAATTGCATTCGTGAATAACGTCGAGAAAGCCAGTCTCGAAGGAAGCTTTGTAAAGATCACAGTGAAGGTTCGAGTCGACCCTGGATGCATTGAAGTCGCCCATTAGCAGACAGTTCCTTCCTCACCCATTGGTTTTACCGACTGTAATAGACTGACGCCTGAGCTCAGTGGAGCTCAGCCACACTGACCGTGTGCAGCTGATAGCCGTCATGAATTCAGCACCACAGTATCTGTAAGGCTCCGTCATTGTCGCAGAGAACTTCGATAACGTGTACCTTGAGGCAGGACCTTGAGTAGAGAATTGCTCCACCCCCAGTCCGCCCACTGGATCGATCTGCCCGTGAGATTTGAAATCTTGATATACTGATCTCAGCGCCCTGGATCTCTGTTGATAACCAGGTCTCGGTGAAAGCCAGTAAATCTGGATAATGCTGTCGGTGCTTTCGCAATTTAGCTCACATCTGGTGGGAACACCGCGATAGCAACGAGCGCGTTCGACGCCTTGTTTACGGCACAGGAAAAGGAAATGAACCGCTCAGCATCGTTATTTCACGCATCAGGCTCCGATGGCTCGGCCACATGTTACGCATGCCAGCCCACCGACTCCCGCGACGTGCGTTGTTTACGCACCGGGAGTGTGGATGGAAGAAAAGGAGAGGTGGCCAAGTGATGACTCCGTCGAGAGGAATGAAGGCCTTCACTTCTGAGCTAGCCTCGGTTGGAGCGTCTCGGCTCCCTGGCTGGGGTCCGTAAGACGATGAACACGTTTGGCTGGTTACACTTGCTAATATGACTAGGAGCCGACCTCAGTGGCGTTCTTGCTGTGAGTTTGCCCACCCCATCCGTCTTAGCCTCCACCTCCAACCACGATCTCATTATTTTGCATGGTAAGTACTTTTTTCTGCTGCATAGTAGCCGGCAGTTAGCTTACCAGAACGATGCCCATCCGTTAACGGTAGTTCAGCTGCCTTGCACCTGTTGCGTTTTATTCTCTTTTTTCTTTTAGGTATTGTGGCACAGTAACTGAGGTGTTACCCACCTCTAGCTAACGTGCACATTGTGTGTATGTGTGTTGATGCTCAGTAATGAGAAGAGGAATCTCGTCGAGCTTATTTTTAAGGCTGCGTACATCATCAAATATCACTCGCAGACCGCTATTTAGACATGCGGGCTGGGTAGCGGAAGGATTGGCTTCCAGCGACTTCTCTGGGTTTTCTGAACAACGCGAAAATCCACAATGTGGAGATCAATTTCGCCGTTCGTTCGACAAGTTCGAAGTTCATTGACGGCTTGTATCATTTTGACTCTAGCCTCTGGGGAAAGATCTTTCAGAACAAAGGTTTCTCCCTTGAGAGGCGAGGTACGCTTGAGGATGCGGCGGCATTCATCCTTATCCTGACAGACGACTTTTAGCGGGCGAATCTTAGATAGATCATCTTGCTTTCTACCTAGACGGGAAGCAGAGATGATGTTGATACCCTGCTCGTCTTCATCGAACAGCATGGATACCATCCGCTTCAAAAAAGCCTGGTCGTCAAGAATCCTTTCAGCCGATGATTTGTCTGATTCAGGAGCATTCGTAATTATTAAGAAACGCTCACGAGATGCTTTGTTTCCTCCTGAGAGACTTGACTTTTGTGGGGCTGCCTTTTCTTTAATGAGCCGCTCAATCTGGGTAACTCAATAATGAGCTCCAGTTGCGTTGGGTTACATTTTGCTTTAGGTCTTGAAACTGTTTTTTTGCCTGTCTTTTGACCGGGTTCATCGCGGATGTTTCTGCAGCGTTTATGCCCGCCACAACAGCATAGGTCCTCGTCTTTATTTTTGGCTTAGTTGCATCTAACTGGTCTTTGCAGACCCTACCCTGTGTTAGTAGTGCACCCTCTAAGGAAGAGATGATCCGGTTTCGACTTTGATTTGAATTGCCAGGACCGACGGGCAACAGTGTTCCCGCCAACGTTGTGGAGGAGGCACGGCTTCTTTTCCATTTGGGCGTAGAGTAACCAGACCCAGGCAGGCACACAGATGAAACAGGAGTTTCGTAGTCAGAGTTAGACAGAGCTTGTGCAGGAGCAGTAGTTACGCTGAGGGTCGTAGCCTCATCAGAAGTTTTTATCGCTAACCACTGCTAGATACGGGAGGCAGTGTGCTGAAGACAGTGGTAAAGATCTTGACCAATGTTACAGCGAACTGTGTGCATCTATCTGTCACAGTGCGTATTGGACGATCTTTGAACATGAGGTGACACACTTCCCGCAGTCTACACACTTGGATGTCATGTCTTCCAAAAGGAAAATTTAACTATAGTCATATTTCGTTACAAGTGTCTATTCAAACACTTCACGAGAATTTCACCTAAAAGATTCGAAAGAATAGCACGCCAGAAGGAGGAGTTACCGCCTAGTACTCACAGATTTATCACTTCCGTACTTCTGTTCCTTATTTCACGTGACCGTTGCGGCGGGGGCTGCCAACGAAGTCGCGTGGGTAATAATTGTTTGATGGTGGTGTGGTTCGCACGTGTTGATGACTCATCTAAACTCCAGTTATCGCGGACGAATAACACCCCTAATCGATGCGCCACTTAAGGAACATCCACGGGAATTTACCCTACTGTTCCAGTCTCATTTGAACAAATTGGAGACTGTCCCAGTGCACCGAATCCCCAATCTTACCTGCTACGCCTGGTTGTCACCACGCCGTAGAAACGCAAAGCCGTATTACGATTTACTCTTAAACGCATGGGTAGTAGTGTCAATGTACGACCAGGACCTCCACTAGCGAATGGTCTGAAATTAAACGAGTCCATAAAGGATCTCTAAACTAGGCGAGCATCCGGAGACCAAGGTCTCCAGTTAGTGGGCTTTTAGATAGTCCTCCATTTCCACCCTGCCGTATCCCGTTTCTATAGTGATCGATCGAGGAATGACCGTACAAAGCTGGTGTTTAGCAGTGTTCGCGCACGTGCGGGTTTGTTCTGCTTGTAGACGGGCGCCATCCGGATATGCTTGCATTCGCTGAAACGTTTGTCATAGGTTGTCACGGACCGTAAAGTACGTCCACCTGGTTACTCATCAATTAGATCTATACGCTCCGTTATTCGACAAAACGGACTCCTCCGTTCGCACGAGTCACCAAAATATGATCGTTGGAGCTCCCTGAGCGACCAATTTTTGAGCCCCCGGCCGTTCCAGTTGGACACTTTTTGGACGACTTTTGCTCACTCAGAATGTTTTCTCCAGCATTCCCCTACCCTCCACCGCGAATGCAATTTTCGTAGTTGCTTATACCGTCAACGGTAAGCGAAATTCGATTCCCAAATTGTACTTCGATGGAAGATTATTTCTTTCCTGTCCTTAGCTTACCGCGATCCATCCTGCCTGGGATACTCAGTGTTTTGTCTGTTCCAAATCATCACTTTTCCGACGTCTGGGCCGATGGACATGACTTTGGCAAGGTTTCACAGCTTCTGCTCTTCTAGTTTATTCTCGAGCACCACGGTCACTGTCCATCTTCATGTACCCTACTTATGTGGATGTTACGTTCCGCCCGAGTCCTATATGTTTTACTTTTGGTGCCGTCAACGGCTTCCTCTTACTTAGCTTTGTATCACAACAACCAGCAGTCAGTGGGGATTTCAAAACCGCTGCTGCCACCGCTGCGTGTATGATCGCTATCCACCGGCGATGTTACAGCCAACGTCCCGCTGCCACTCTTATCTATCAGGAGTCATAATAACAACTTCAACTTCAGCACCGACTGCAGCTTCAGTCACAACGGCAACAAGGTTCTTAGCCTATTGTCGTTCACGACGAAACGTCTGTAATCACTCCGCTTGACGTCACCAATATGACCGATGATCAAGGTTCATCGAATGCAGTCTGTTTGTCTGATCGTGTGATGTGCGGTGAGCCGCCAAATTGAGATTACGGGGAAAGAATCGTATGAGGCCCACAACCATAGCCCGTCTTGGACTCTCCAATTTACTGAACTTTGGTCTTTCACTCTGGATTCTGGGGCTACTGGCCTGGCTCTTTAAGTTTCCTCGGAAATACGCCGATGTTTTAGGTCTGAAAGTACCCACTGTTGCATGTGTTTGTCCCGCTTGGAGGATTTTGGTCAAGGACAGCGCTACTGGAAATCTTTCATGTACATGTGTTGACCGAAGTTGTCATTCAGCTATTGAAACCGTACCAACTGATTCGTTTTTCATATTTATCAGTCTGTTTTGCGGATTCTTCATATTCAGTCTCACATAAACTATGCGCAAACCCCATTTCCGTTTCTGTTCATTAATAGAAATAACCGAATTCGCTCCCGCTGACGCCAACTATTCACGATCCATTTTTTCAGGTATCAAAAGTATCATTCGAACAGTCAAGTTTGTTTACTCTTTCGGCATTTTCCTATACAACCGGGTGCATTGCGGATAACGCCAGTTCATTGAGGGAATGGAATTCTGTTGAATTCCATTCCATTGCCTATTTTTCCTTATTCTTTCTCACATTTTCTATATTCATAGGTTATTGTGGAGTGGATCATAGCGGTATATTTCCACAATCCGTTTACACACTAGCTGATCCACAGCCATTACATTTTTCAGTTTTTTGCACAGGCTTCAACACTGCTTTTTAACAGTATGCGCTTTGCTTTCTCCCTTTATCTGTCTTCCATATTGAGCCGGCCTATGTATTAACTCAACTCGAATTACACATTCTCCCTTTTAGCCCACTTTGATTACTCCGTCCACACGCACTACATCACTGCATTTCCCTCTTTAATCTTGGAAGAATACCCTGCGACACTGTTTACTTTATTTTCATGTGAAGGCTACCCGTTCAATCTCGTCACAAATGGATCCTCATACTCCTGGTTGTAGTGATGAAAAGAGGTAGGGCTTTTTCCGTTGCTTACACTCACAGTCTGGACAACGACAATTTTTGCTACCCAGATGTCGAAGGTGGTTTTAACTCTTCAAGTAAGCCACTAATGTGTGCTACTATTAATCGCTGAATTAGGCTCGGCAGGTGGAACTTTCAAGACTACCGAAGAGGTATTTGTGACATTAATTTAACTGTTTTTTTCAGATTATTTCGGAACTTCGGCGTGAAAACTTCAGACTCCGCTTAATGTGTTTTGACTATGAGAAAGCTAGGAAGCGAATGATTAACCCTCAAGATGCGGAATCATCTGTATCTTTTCTTATTCAACTTATTTTTTCCTTCCAGAGGTTGTTCTCAGTGGAAGCCGAAAATTTGACTTTAAAAGAAGTATTGGCTGAGAAAACAAATCTTCTTCGTTCGGCTTCGTACGTGGTGTTATTTAATGAAATTGTGGTTGCCAGGAAAACGATCGACGCTCTGAAGGAAGAAAATAACTTACTCAATGAGAAACTACACGAATGGGAAGAAAAGTTGCACGAAAATAACACGGGTACGCCTCGCCGACAGTCACTTACACCTGTTTTGATACTCATTTAATATTAACTTGGATTTCGGTAGTGATGTATTGGAGAAGTCCTACATCGATCGTTTGAGCCCTCGCAGCTGGGACTTCGAGGTCGCGCTTTAAAGCATAAGTCACTTTAACGTTCTCGTGGTCAGTCGTGATTTAGGGAAATCCCTCGAATTCACAACGCCATCTATGGTGCGTCACATCCACCCGGCTTTTATGTTTTCTCTTACCTTTTGGCCGATATGATTATCTGCGTCTTCCTCCTCTGTTGCGTAGCCAACTAGGGAATGCAGCTTGGACAGTCATACTCATAGTCCTACTCATTTCTGCTGCACTCGCATGATGCCTCACTATTTCCCCACTATAATCGAGCTGCTGCTCTAACTTTGTGTTCTCGCATCTAAGCGCTTTTATCACTTCTAGTGGGCGACTTTGCGTATCTCTGGTCCAAGTAACCGAATCAGATATCATCTTTGACCTGTGTTAATTCTTCGCTGCCAAACACTCGTGACCTTTGATCCTCGACGGAATCTACAGTTGTATGTTAGATGGCCAATTCGTTTCCAAGTGAGTGTCCGCCTCGCAACCAGTCCTGTTGTTTTCGGCTGGTCCAGCTGGAGTACTCCGAGGTTATTCTTCTCTAATGTATTTTGTCATGTTCGCATCTTTCCACCGCATTGCTGTCCGCCGGTGGCCGAGTGGTATGCGCGTCTGGTCTGCAACCATAAAGTCACCGGTTCGAATCCACGTAGGGGCGGGCGTCCTCGCGGTATGCTCAGCCCACGCGCGACTGGTGGTGGTCGCGTGGCAGCGAAGCGCCGTTACCGCGTACACCTGGCGATTTACTTTTACTTTACCGCAGTGGTGCTAATTTCAATGTGTGGTCGTGCTTACGATGTCCAGTTTTTCTCATAAGCGGCTACTTGCGCCTCCATCAAACTATCTTTTGGAGCTCACATCGAACATCCTCGCTTATCCTACGGGTGTGAGCTCTCCTTATGGAGAATCGACGTGACAACTTGCATCATTCAGCCCAGGGCCAATAAAAACCACCTTTCAATCGTCCAATCACTACATAGCTAAGGTGATAGACTCTTTTCATTATTTCACTTTATCCCCTTTCGTCTGTCATGTTTGGTAACGATTCCAGGTTGCCTGAATCTAGAACACCGGTGTCCCATTACATTAGATAGTTTAGTCACTTGATAACTTAGCCTGCTCTCAACTTGGAACATTAATATGCACTTGAATGCCGCGCACCCCTGAAATCCTTATTTCGGATGTGTTCCGTTTATCCTGGTGTGCGATATCCCGTCATGCTTTTTGCCCCCCGTTACCGCGGCCTACCGTCCTCTTGCTCCCCCTCAACGGGGTTGCCTCATCAATAACAGATTACAACGGTGATGTTAGGTGTTTATTTGTTGCATCGCACTTTTAGCTCCTTTGTGTTGGCGCTTTGTAAGATAGTATTCTCTCCATTTGCAGCATACATTTGAAACTCTCGATCCGTTCGCTTGCAAGTTTTCCATCTTCCGCAGTAGGTACAACTCACTGCTTTTCGTAACCCCGGCCTGTCACCGTATACTGCCCTTCAAAAACAACGCTTTGGCTTTTAAGGAATGGACGTCGCCCCATTTCCCATCCCCGACATGGAATATCAGGAGACAGTCCGTCTCACCAAAGCGCTTGTGGTCCTACCCAGTACAGCTCATTGGATTGGAAAGACAAAAACCGTCGCACAAGTTCCAGACCTGTTGCGACTTTCTCCATTCCTGTTCCACTCAGCGGTTGATTCCATGGGGTTTTTCCTTGTGAACTTTCACGGTGCAAGCGTTGAGGTGTTACCTAGTGGAAAACATGTAGATCTGCAGACGCTCTTGTCTTGCTGTCTTCCCATTCAGCCACGATTTCGATGGCGCAACAATATATATATATATATATATATATATATATATATATATATATATATATATATATATATATATATATATATATATATATATATATATATAATCTTAACACGATGCAATGGAAGCTGTTTCGCCGATGCCGCCTAATCTTTGCAGGATTGCTAGATGTCTTTCACGACATATTGTTGGCAAAGTATGACCCCTTAACCTCGAATGTTTGCTTTGTGTATTAAAGTTTCACGCAATGTCCTCCTACTTTTCCTCTTATTATTCTTTTCGTAGGTCATTTTGTTTATACGACAATGAAGCTTCAATTTAAATGGCTGCTGTTCTACTGTTGATGACTTGGCGGAATTTTCCACGCAATGCAATAGCCTGCTGCACTTTTAGTTACACGGACATTGTTTCAGCTTCGTCTGTTCACACATCAGTACTGACAACTTTTTTGCTTACTTCTCTCTCTGTCAGTAGCAATATCTTTGCAAAACATATGCATCGAAGTAACCGACCACGTTTTGTCTATCTTAATCCTGGCTTTTATTATGTCACTTTTATCTCTTCGTTTAGCTTGGCGACGGCAGTACGACGCTCTTTATCTTCAGTTGCAACAGGCGAAGAATGTGATTCAGTCGTTTGAGTTTCAGTCATCAACTCACAAACGGCAAGATAGTGGTCACTTGCGTGACCTAATCAGGTAAGACATGAGACAACGATCACAAATGTGATATTAGCATTGTGTTACTTTTTTATAGCTTTTAAGTCTACGTTGTTTAATGTATTGTATTGTGGCACATTAGCTGAGGTGTGTTTTTCACTCTCGGCTACTGTGTATTGATATTGATGATACGATGTCGGGATGTTTCCTGTGTCTACATGTTCTAACCCGTTTTAAGCCACACTAGTTTTTCTGTCTTACAAGGAATTCGATATCTTGCTATCTATTGTGATTGCTAATCTGCGTCCAATTCTCTAGGAAGTTTTCGGCTCCTGTTATATCTTCATATACGGCCAACAGCTCCTACTATAGCACACTCACCAGATGTGACGTACTTATTCTTGGTCAGCTCGATATGACACTCCGTTCAGAGTCCGACTTTATAAAGCTAGTCACTAACACTTAGTATGGTTCGCTGTTCTCCACGCCAAACGTCGTATACTGGATACTTTAAGACCCACCCATACCGGGTTACTTAGTGGTCACGTCCTTAGCTGGGGGTTGAACCTGCCTGGCGCAGAGGGCGATCGTCAAGAGTTATCTCGGACAACAAATACGCATATCAGCTGCTCACGGAGTTGCTGCCGTTCGCTTCAGACCCGAAAATCTTTGGCCAACAGATGCAGTTGCATGTGAATCACGGATAGGGTCATGAAATTTGAGCGAACTGTTCTATCAGTCGGCCCATTACTTGCCTCGAACAGACCCACGTTGAGATGTTATCACATACTTTAATTGAACTTGCCTCCAGCTTCGTAAACCGTTCTTGAATCATAGGTACTTGTGACTTCTAAATCAATGTCTGTAGAGAGGATACTGGTAACCTCCTCTGCCTTATCTCTGTGAACAGCAGTTTTGCCCCATTCCATTGCCAACTTCAGTCAAATTAGATGAACAACAAGTGAAACTTTTGCGTTTTTTATCTCTATAGTACACGCTTGTATCACCTTCCTATTGAATAGATTCAAGTATTTTCCCAACAAAATTTATCTGCAGTCATAATCACATCCAGTAGTCATGGTGTGTCTTAGCGACCGACATGGCTTCTGTCTTATTTGCTCAGAACCACCTCGAATGCACAGCCTTAGAGAAACTTTGCGATCCATGGATTACCAGTTGTTTTTTGATCTCTACGCGCAATCGTATCACCTAGGTACTTTGGTGTACCATTTACTTCGCTCACCTCTGTCGTTGCGATCCAAACCTGCTTCTTTATCATTCATCTCGCTGAATCACCATTCAGCGTTTGTTTTTCGAAGGTTACCAACGAGAATTCTGCATACATCGTATGTGACGGAGGGTCACAACGAACTACTACTACGTTGGTCACTGGTCTGGTCCCTGAGCAAATTTTCATTGCATTTACCCCATTTTATCTATGCTTCAGCCGTATGTTTTGATGGCTGTTTTCTACCTTGTCACTGTTTACTCGTGGATATCCATTATGAAGCGCTGAGAAGCGCACTAAAGTTCTCAGACGCTTCGAGATTAACCGATTAATTGACTTTTAGTATTTCTCTTTTCCGTCCATCAGGACAATTTTGTCTGTCTTTTTCATGTTCTTTTGTCACTAGGCTTAAGCTGCTATTTGGTTGCTCCTTTTAGTGCAGAGTAATTCAGCTGTTTTCATTTTTGTTTACAAGATTAACTTTTTATACCTACCCACAATCCTTTCGGTAACGTTGCAACTACCCAGCACGGTTTATAGCTATCGTGTTCGTGCCTCCGTCTTGCTCTAGTGGTGTGGTAACTACTACCGCTTTCCTGTTATCCTTTCCAACTCACTGATTGAGGGTGTCTGACTGGTTTACAGAACCAATACGAAGTACCCTGGTCTCTAGAATCCTTGATGTAGTCGTTCGGATGCCAAATTTGTGGTGGTGGTGGTGGTGGTGTGTGTATCCATTGACTTCTCAAGGGTCTGTGCCCATAGATGAACGGATGAAGTTATTCAGACATGTACACATCTTTACTTTTTACTAGTCTACAGAGTACACTAATCAAGTAGAGCAATGCGATACATCTCATGCACGTCTAGTAGTGTAGTGGGTCATTAAGCTAAGATCTTTGGACCGATTTCAAGTTAATGCAGGTTTTTGCAAAATATTCGCACCTAAATGATCAGGCAGTGATTACTTCATCATAGAAAGGGAACGTAGTGGCCCAGCAAAGGAAACTTTCCGTATGACATACGAGCAGTGTCTATGGGATACTGCGTCAAACTAATGGCTAGTATTGATTTTTTATTAGTACATAAAAAGCAAACTGGTTTGCCAGCTGAATTTAGACACTCTATATTCCTGGGTATTTGGAGAATGGTGGCACTGCTATACTCAATCGCGACATTTTAACGCCAGCTGTATTGGAGGCTGGGTCGTAGCACCTAACCTTGTTGGCGCGAGGACATCTCATTCGTTACCCTCCGGTCATTGATTTCAATACAAATGAGCTGAGAAGAATGTAAAGATAGCTTGAAAGCAATAATCACTTACCCAACTTACCACTGTGCGCGTGTTCTCATGTATGCACGTCACTTTTTCGCTCTGAGTAAAGTGGGATCATGATTCTGCAATCACATGTCAGCAGCCATTAAGTTGGACAAAACTCAACAGTAGGGGATGAAGCAGTAGTGAAGAGGGGAGCTAAAAGTAATACTCGTTTGACAGACCAGCCGTATGGTCCCTCTTTCTACGAGTTCATGGTAGACATTCACTCTGAGTATGTCGGGCTGTTCTTCTCGATTAAACTAAGCTTGAGGAATAGCACCGGGGCCAAAAAGTGAAGTCGGAAATGCAGTGAATCAGTTCCGTAACACAACCTCTCCACCACTTTTCTTGAGCTCATAAAAAACTGGATTTTGCAGCACTTAGGGTAATTTGTAATCATGTTTTGAATATTTCGTCTGCGTGGCATTTCGGAATCAACCTTGAAGTGGACCACCTGCTGCCGAGTTCTCTCGGTCACAACCTCTATCTCGTTCAAGTCTCCGCTTCCACCTAGCTTTAGGCTCCATAATATTACATCAGCCTTTGTGCAACCGCTTGTGGTCGCACTAAGATGTCAAGCTCTGGTAGCTTCATAGTTATCACATGTCATATTACAGCCACATCTCGGAGCCCGGAGTCAGCCCCACGACGAACAAAACGGAAGCGGACCAAGGGCAGTTGAAAACCACACGGTTGTTCTCAGAACCCGGAAAATCTTCGAGTTCTCAACAACGTACCGACAAAGGGATATCGCGACTTGATGAAATCGACGTTCTCGAAGTATCACGTGATATACACAAGTCGTGTCAGGTGAGTGGTCACCTAGACTACCATTCCGTATTTACGTTTTAGTATTTGTTGGCTTAGCCTGGAGGTAACGAGCTTGCCTCGTAATCTCGCGGCGCGGGTTCGAACCCGCGTAGGGATGGGCGCCCTCGCGGTATATTTAGACTGCGTGCGACTGGTGGTGGTCGCACGGCAGCGAAGCACCGTTACGGCGTATAGCTGACACATTATTTTTGTTTTATGACGTATGTCAGGACCACTTGATGCACTGTTCCCTCGACCATTTGTCGAGCTTTATCCTTTTTTCCCCTCGGGCACTAGCTCACAAATTCCACCTATCCACCGAACGTTTTTCACAGATACCCACGTTTACCGGAGTTTTGAGTCTACACATACCCGCCCAGCAACTGTTCGATATGTTAACGCGATCGTTTTGTGTGCCGGCAACCTATTCAACACATACCACCTTGTATCAAAATTCGACGTTGGTTGCGTGGGCTGGCTCTCTTGCGGTTGCAAATCTTACCTATTAGTAGCTCTGTTGCAAGCATCTCTGCCTTTGCTGTCGTTTACCCCCTTCCTTTGATTCTTTTTATTCGTGTATTGAGTTATCTTATTATCATGTGTTGGCTTTGCCAATCAGAGGCTAGTGAAGCCAGCTTCTCACTGTGTATCCTTACTACTTTTGTGTGCCTTCCGATCGTTCATACAGTACCCAATAACCAAGTCCCTCACCCATTCCCCCTTACCTATTCCGCCATCGTCACATGATAAGCCTAAAGACGTTGGACGGTATATTGACAATACGCTCATCATCAGCACCTTAACCGAGGGTGAAAAACACCTCAGTCAATGTGCCGAAAAACAAAAAGATAAAAAATTAAGCATTGTAGATTACAATAGTTAAAAAGTAACAACGTGCTATATATCATATTATGCATTGAGTTGAGATCGTTGTTGAAAGCGGACAACCAAAGAGGATGGGAGGGACAGAGACATTCACCGCATAAAAACGCCATTGAGGTCGGCTGTTCGCTATAACAACTAGTGTATCATTCGGACCCCAGCCCGACAGCCGGGAGAGATCGGCCGACCCCAAGTTCGAATTGAAAGTTTCATTCCCATTGACCAACTCATCGCTTGGCCTCCCCTCCTATTTTTCCATCCAGATCCCGTTCGCGCAAACAACGCACGCTGCAGGAGTTGGTGGGCTGGGATGCGCAACACGTGGCTCAGTCGTCGGAGTTTGCTGCGTGATATAAGGGTGCTGAGCGATTCAGTAGCTCTTCCTGCACCAAATATACAGCGTA